CAGCCAGACTGACAACGGCACCTTAAATTCTTATAATCAATAAGAGGTTGGACTGTTTGGGTGAGGGAGAAGTGACAAAATGGAGGAAGGTGAACAAGATGGCACAGTCCCGATTGCTTCCAGGTTCTTCATCACCAACTTTCCCGCGCCCGGGAAGATGCAGATCAACCGAGCATGTGCCAGGTGACGTCAATCCGAAGAGATCGAAACTTACCTGGCCACGCCTACGGAGATCCCCCTATCATGTCCTTATCCCACCCACTGCCCTCCCGCTTCCAGTACCAATGCATAAAAGTCTGCTGCGGGCAGGAGCTGGCGTGACTTCTTCGGCCCCCGCAATCGTGGACGGGGGGACCTCACCCGAGAGCACCGGTGCGACTTCCCTGGCCACCCCCCACACCTGAGGACCAGAGAACCTCGCCTGAGAGTGTGCGCATATTTGCAATAAAAGACTGCCACTTTCTTATGTACTTTGGCCTCATGTTTAATTATTTAGCTCTCCTAAATTAAATTAAATTAAACAAAACAGGAAGGAAGGAAGGAAGGAAGGAAGGAAGGAAGGAAGAAGATTTTAATGGCAAAAGGCCTTGACTATGAGAAAAACTGGTTTAAAATACATTTTAGTTGTCCAGAAACTGAATTTGTTGAAATGCCCATTTTCCCTCTCTTCTGAGTTTGTGTTTCTCTTACTGTAAGAGATGGTTATGTCACTGCATACACGTATTCCTAAAAGTTCACCATTTCCCCCTTCTGTCATTATCATTACAAATTTAATTTCAATTCTGCCTAATAACAATGGCCCAATATTTGCAGTCCAATGGCAAAACTTTACTTCAGTCCTGGAAATGAGAGCCCCAGAAGGCTAAGAGCAAAAGGGTCGGATAAAGACAATTAAAAAGCGGACTTTATTCACCGCTTTCTTTTCATCCTCATTAGCACTCTCAACCACCTTCCAGCATTTTTTCTGGAGAATTTTCCCTCCAGAGATTCATATCAAAAGTAAGCTTATTATACAAATCTGAGAGGAAATAGGATTGGGGTAAAAATGTCTGGTCTTGCACTCTGGCATCTATTTCTGGCCTTAACAAATGCATCTTTGGTCAAGTAGAACGTGAAACGTAATAACTTGGTTACAACCTCAAAGATATAAATGAGTCACTGAGATATTTTATGATATGTTTTATTTGGAGAATGGCCTTTCTGGAAAAGACTAGCAAAATGGTTTTTCTTTGTTTTCCATAGGACACAAGACTTCCTAAAATGATCAGTATCACTAAGAACAATTTGTTATTTCTATTTTTATTTATTTTAGAGACAGGGTCTCACTCTGTTGCACAGGCTGGAGTGCAAGTGGTGCAATCATAGCACACAGCAGTCTTGAACTCCTGGACTCAGGTGATCCTCCTGCCTCAGCCTCCCAAGTAGCTAAGACTTCAGTGGCTTGCCACCATGCCTGGCTAATACTTTCATTTTTATTTTTGGTAGAGACTGGGTCTTGCTCTGTTGCCCAGGCTGATCTCGAACTCCTGGGCTCAAGCAATCATCCTGCCTTGGCCCTCTCAAAGTGCTGGCATTATAGGCATGAGCCACTGCTTCTGGCCGCCTGCTTTTTGTTGTTGTTGTATTGTTTTGTTTTGTTTTCTTAATGAGATAGCACACATACTGAGAGGAAAACTTCAAATAGAACAAGGAGTTCCTTTCTACTCCACATTCTAAGCCAGTTACATCTGAAAATTACCTCTATCAAGAGTTTTCTACCTATCCTTGCAGAAGTTCTATACATTTATATATGCATATATATTTTAGTAGTTATTTTTCTAATTCCTTTGCTTTACACAAATGGAGGAATGTGACTTGTTCTGTATCTTTTTATAACATCTATCTTATTTATTTTAAAAAGCCACAGGGTCTTTCCTATTGTTATACATTTAGATTGCCTATTTTTTCTCAATACAAATTACACTTCAACATCTTACACATACATCTTTTCAGCTTTGTGAATGCATGTCCATTGGATAAATTCCTAAAAGTGGAATTTCTGGATGAGAAACTTTGTGTATGCTTAACTTTAATGGATATTGCTAAATTGCCCTCCACAGAGTAATATTTCTCAATTTGTGCTCTCTCACTAACAGTAGATGGGAGTATGCTTTTCCCCATATTCTTATTAACATTATTATATTATCCAACTTGTTAAACCTTTTTAATAACCTGACATGTGACAAGTGATACCTCCTTTGTGTGTTTTTTGTTTGTTTCAATATACATATCTTTGTAAATAAGGTTGAGAATAATTTCATGTGTTTATATTACATTTACATTTACTTTTCTATGAAATAACCTATTTATATATTTTGCCAATTTTTTTTATTTTTGTAGCTTGTCCTTTTCTTATTGACTCTTAAGAATTCTTCAATGCTAAGAAAATTTGTGTTTTGCCTGAAATGTTTTTTTGTAATTTGCCAGTTGTCTTTCATCTTGGTTTAGAATATTTCTTGCTGTACAGAAAGCTTGATTTTCTTTGATATATAGCTATGTTTCAGTATTTTTTGTTCTGCTTTCTTTTGTATGTCAGTTAAAAAATTCTTCATTACACCAAAATTATTGCTTAAATTGTCACATTTTCCTTGAATATTTTATTGTTTTTTTTTTCATTTATTTCTGACAGTTTAGAAGTTGGTAGGCATTCAGCTATATTTTTCCACAAATGAAAAGTCAGCTGTTCCAATACCAAATTAGTAAATAACCTATTTTTATATACTGATTTAAAATATCATCTTTGGTACATATCAGATTCTCATATTATTTTGATTCTACATGTAGACTGTGTTTTCTTCTAGTGGCAGTGTACAGTAGGAAAACCTCCGCAAGTTAAAATGTGCCAAAATATTGGTCCCCTCAGCCCCTGGGGCAGCTAAGCTGGTCCTCAGGTAACCCGGGCCTTAAGCAATTTCCTCTACATATGACCTTGATTGATTTCCCAGCATGCCATAAAAATATTTTCATTTTCTATGTGTATCACAACATGAAGAAGGTTGAGAAGCACTGGTGTTTGTCTGTAGGTATACAGGATTAAATTATCTCTGCACAAAATCTATCTAGGTTCAAATTCAGGACCTGTCTTTACTGGTTGTATGACCTTGGGTGAATTATTAACTTACCTTGCTGAAAATGGAATTAAAGAAATTTGTTCTTGCTGTTGTTTATCTTTCCTTGGGAATGAATATTGAGTTTTATTGAATGCCTTTTCACCATCTATGAAAATACTACCTTTTTAATCATTTAGCCTATTAAATATATAAATTAAATCAATATGTTTCTTAATATTGAACCATTAGTTCATTCCTGACAGGACCTTTACTTAGTATATATTATTATTTGAAATTACTAATAGATGCTATTACCTAATTTCTTTAGAGTTTTGCATTGATATTCACAAATTACATTTATTAATAATTTTCTTTTTCTGTACTATATTTATCACATTTTGGAATAATTGCTTTCTGGCATCATAGAAAATATTTGGAAACTTTCCTTCTTTATGCATTGAAACAGTTGAAATAGCATTGAGATTATTTGTTCTTTGGAGGTTTGAATGATACCTTCTGTGAAGATGTCTGGGCTTGATACTTCTTAGCAGGTCACTAAGAAGCCAGCATCATCCTGATACCAAAACCTGACAGAGACACACACAAAAAAAGAAAAATTCAGGTCAATATCCCTGATGAACATCGAGAAGAAAATCCTTGTGAAATTCCTCATCTATAACTTCAAACAATGCCACATTTCTGGTTAATTTAAGGGAGATTTTACAATGACATTACTGGTGAATTATCTTTGCTGACATTTGGACACCCCAAAGTCCAACTTGATTCAACTTGATTCATAATCTTTATTTCCAACATGATCCATAGAACAAGTTTTAAAATGTCTGTTTTAAAGGGATACACATGTAACAGAGAAATTGAGAAAGGGGTATTTCCAGATGCTGACCCTAAAGTGTACCTTCTTCTGTGAGCCAGAGTCTAGTAAATTCTACTTTTGTAGATTCTTTATAGATTCTCAAGCTTTTAACTGGGATTTATAATCTTAAAATGGATGATTCAAATTACTAAAATAAACTCAATTTCTTATTTATTCTGGACTGCCTAAGATTAGTTAAATTTCTGGCTTTGAATTTATAGCCTTTGGTCCCTGAAAAACACATGTGTTTTTAGATATCACCATTGCAAGATAATTTACAAACTCTGAATTTATTATCTTTGTAAAGATAATTTTAAAATTAAATAAGTGTGATAGAATATTAAATTTGGTATTTCCTGGATTTTTTTGTTTTGGGGTTTCTATGTTTTTGTTTCAACAGACACCCCAAAATCTAAACAGACACCTCAAAATCTAAAAACAAGTGCCATATATATATACACATATATATGTGTATATCATTATGCATACATATATACATATGTGTGTATATATGTATATGTATAACATCTGTTGTTTTATATATAAATATATATATGATGTGTATGTATACACACATTCTAAATCAAAGTGCCTGATTGCTTTTTCATTCATTAATTCATATGTTGAACATCTATCTATTGAGAGCCTACTATGTGTCAGGCTATTCTCTAAAACCAAATGATACAGAAATAATCAAAACACATTAAAAATGTCTGCTTTATTGCTGCTTGCATTGCAGTGGATATTTGAAGACTATTATTCGCCTCCAGACTAAGAGACAGCTAAGTATCCAGAGGGTGAAGAGGCTGCTAATGAGGATTTTTTTTTCAAGACTATTGTTAGAGCATTGTAAATTATCTCTCCCTTACATGGGAGGGAAAGGAAACTCCCCCTTCATCTCAAGCCAATTGAAGGGGGCCTCAAAAGAATGATTTGGAAAGCTAATATGCATTCTCTGGAATTTCAGAGACATGAGAGCAAGTTACTTGACCCATGGTTGAACAAAAAAGCAAAGGTAAGTGTACCTACAGCTGCCTATAGAAGAACAAGAAGCCTCTTGTCAGTAGTAAGTTACAAGTTCATTGAAAGCAGGGCAGAGGGGTTGATTTTCCATAGATCACATACAACTCTGTGGAATGGTGCTGCCTGATAGTCAAGTTGATTAGCTGGTCATAAGTGCCACCAAAAGCTTCTACCAAGGGTGAGGCAGCCTCAGCAACAAGAAGATAAAGTTGTGTCATAGATGCAGAAGAGATATGAAGGGATTAAACTGACGGTGTGGAAGTGGCATCACTCATGCCAGGAACTGCAGGTGAAGATCTCCAGGGAGGGAATCATCAAACTGAAGGGGAAAATAAAAGTAAGCCTTGAATTCCACCATGCTCAGATGGCATCAACACCATATTATAACTTTACCAGTCCAAAAGCACATTTCTGCCCCTTATTCTCCATTCCCTACTCTAATATTCCCTAGTATTAAAGGAGCCCAAAACAGCAACTGTTAAGTAGAGAATGCAGTGAAGCCAAAAAAAAAAAAAAATCAGATCGTAAGAACCTCTCTCCACCACACCTTCTCAGTCTACGGAGCCTGAGGCCAACCTAAACTAAGGAAGAAGAGAAATCTTAAATTAAATGAGATTTGGGACTTTTGATCAGCATTTGTGCTGTATATTCATTATTTAATGAGACAGAGGAGTCTTCAGACCTGACTGAGATTTTATTCCAGGGGCTAGAAATAACTGATCCGAAGAACAAGTGAAAAAGAATAAATTAAAGGTGCATTCTGCTTTACTCTACAAAGTACAGTTCATCCAATAAACCAATTAAATAAGTTTAGCTTTTCATAAGTAGAAAGAGATACAAACCTTTAAATTAGACTTGCTGGGAAAACAAAGTAACATAATGTGGAATCTTTTGATATAAAAAGTGAAGCTACAAAGCCTTCTGAATCAATTTCTAAATAATCTGTGGCAATAGGATATTAGAGATACATAGAAAAATAATAACATATCTCCACTATGGGCATCTTTCCCAGGTTTTATAAAATGTCTCTGATTATTTCTGTTATCAATTTTTATGATTGGGAAATTATGAGTGGGAACCATAGAGCTCTGAGGGGAGTAATTGTTTTTGTTTTTTTCAAAAGCTTAATTTGAGTATGATGCCTGTAACAGGTTCAACAGTGGTAGAATAAAGTTTCTACCACTTGTGCAATAGAATACAAAGATCATCCAAAATAGAAGATAAATGAGTCTAGTATTAAATATAGTGGATATTTCCAGATCAGCATGCCCTCGTAGCATAGTTCAAGGGTTAAAATATATCCTGAACTTATTACAGCAATAATCTTTCCAGGTGCATGTTGGACAATGATGAAGCCTAAAGCTGAAAAAGGATATGCATAAGGCCTTCCTCTAAAAATGAAAATAACGTAATAGCCCCCAAAAATTATAGACTGGTCACCTTAACATTGATATCTGAAAAGACCAAACTCATTAATCATTTCATTTATAAAATGCTAAACAATCACGGGCGCCAGTGAGTAGTCAGTGGGATTTTAGGAAGAATAAATCAGTCAGACCTATGTAATATTGCTCCATGACAGACTGCCAGGCATTATTGATTGGAAGGGAAGGAAAAAAGACTTTAATCCTGGTCTTAAAGGATGTACTCATAAATAAATCTAGGAAGATATTTTCAAAGTGCATCACTACAAGAATTCTCAACTTCTTAGAAGGCAGAACAGATGGTATTTCATTCTTCTCTTTTCTTTCCTAAAGCAAAAACAAGAGGGTGATTAAGCCTTAGTTAAGCATATAGAAACAGAGAAAAAACAAAGGAAAGGAAGAAATCCTTTACCAAATTGTTGTAAATTGAGCGGGTGTCATTCACATTGCAAGTGGAGAAAACATACTATAAATAAATTTGCAGGTGGATTTATCTTATGCTACATTAGTACAAAAAAAGTCAAAAGCTGGGGAATGTGGGTCTCCCCCAAAAAAGATGAGAAAGATTCAGGAGACAAAAATCGATTTTGAGACAAAAACTACAAAAATAGACACCAAAAAAGTCATTGTATAACGATATCGGAGTCAATTCAGCAAGAGAACATAACAATTGTAAATATATATGCACCTAACACTAGAGCACCCAGATATATAAAGAAAATATTATTAGAGCTAAAGAGAGAGACGGGCCCCAATACAGTAATAGCTGAAGAGTTCAACATCCCACTTTCAGCACTGGGCAGGTTATCTAGATAGAAAATCAACAAAGAAACATAGGACTTAATGTGCATTATAGATCAATTATATCTAATAGATATTTACAGAACATTTCATGCTATGATTGCAGAATACACATTCTTCTCCTCAGTACATGGATAATTCTCAAGGATAGGCCACAAGTTAGGTCACAAATCAAGTCTTCAAAGTTTCAAAAATAATTGAAAACATATCATATTAGTTCATTCTCACACTGCTATAATAAACTACCTGAAACTGGGTAATTGATGAAGAAAATAGGTTTAATAGACTCACAGTTCTACACGCTGTACAGAAGCATGGTTGGGAGACCTCAGGAAACTGACAATCATGGCAGAAGGTGAAGGAGAAGCCAGCAAGCACATCCTACCATTGTGGAGCAGAAAAGAGAGATAATGAAGGGGGAAGTGCCACACACTTTCAAACAACCAGATCTCATGAAAACTAGCTCACTATCATGTGAAAACAACATAACAAGTATATTCTCTGACCACAATGGAATTAAACTAAAATAAACAAAAAGAGGAGCTTTGGAAACTATATGAACACATGGAAATAAACAATATGCTCCTGAATGACCAGTGGGTCAATGAAGAAATTAAAAAGAAAATGTCAGCCATGAGCCAAGATTGTGCCACTGCACTCCAGCCTACGTGACAGAGCAAGACTCTGTTCTAGAAAATAATCCCCTTTACAATAGCTACAAATAGAAATAAAATGCATAAGAATAAATTTAATCAAAGAAATGAAAGATCACTACAATAAAAGCTATAGGCTGGGTAAAATGAGTCATTCCTGTAATCCCAGAATTTTGAGAGGTCAAGGCAGGAGGATTGCTTGAGCCCAGGAGTTCAATAGAAGACTGGGCAGCATAGTGGGACCCCATTTCTACAAACAAATAAATAAATTTCTTTTAACTTTTAAACTTTACCAAAAAAAAAAAAACAAAACTATACATGGAATGCCAAGATGGCCAAATAATAACAGCTCCGGTCTTTAGCTCCCAGCATGATCAATGCAGAAGATGGGTAATTTTTGCATTTCCAACTGAGGTACCTGGTTCATCTCACTGGGACTGGTTGGACAGTGGGTGCAGCCCACAGAGGGTAAGCCGAAGCAGGGCAGGGCATCACCTCACCCGGGAAGGGCAAGGGGTCAGGGTATTTCCCTTTCCTAGCCAAGGGAAGCCGTGAAGGGCAAGGGGTTGGGGTCTTTCCCTTTCCTAGCCAAGGGAAGTGTGAGACTGTACATGGAAAAACAGGACATTCCCACCTAAATACTACGCTTTTCCAATGGTCTTAGCAAATGGCACATCAGGAGATCGTATCTGGCGCCTGGTTCGGAGGGTCCCATGCCCACGGAGCCTTGCTCACTACTAGCACAGCAGTCTGAGATCAACCTGAGAGGCAGCAGCCTGGCAGGGAGAGGGCCGTCCACCATTGCTGAGGCTTGAGTAGGTAAACAAAGCAGCCAGGGAAGCTCACACTGGGTGGAGCCCACCGTGGCTCAGCAAGGCCTACTGCTTCTGTTGACTCCACCTCTAGGAGCAGGGCATAGCTGAACAAAAGGCAGCAGAAACTTCTGCAGACTTAAACGTCTCTGTCTGACTGCTCTGAAGAGAGCAGTGGTACTCCCAGCATGGTGTTTGAGCTCTGAGAACAGACAGACTGCCTCCTCAAGTGGGTCCCTGGCCCCCATGTAGCCTAACTGGGAGACACCTCCCAGTAGGGGCCTACTGATACCTCTTAAAGGTGGGTGCCCCTCTGGGATGAAGCTTTCATAGGAAGGATCAGGCAGCAATATTTTCTGTTCTGCAATATTTGCTGTTCTGCGGCCTCTACTGGTGATACCCAGGCAAAGAGGGTCTAAAGTGGACCTCCAGCAAACTCCAACAGACCTGCAGCTGAGGGACCTGACTGTTACAAGGAAAACTAACAAACAGAAAGGAATAGTACCAACATCAACAAAAAGGACATCCACACCAAAACCCCATCTGTAGGTCACCAACATCAAAGACCAAAGGTAGATAAAACCACAAAGATGGGGAGAAACCAGAGCAGAAAAGCTGAAAATTCCAAAGACCAGAGCACCTCTTCCCCTCCAAAGGATTGTAGCTCCTCGCCAGCAATGGAACAAAGCTGGATGGAAAATTACTTTGATGAGTTAACAGAAGTAGGCTTCAGAAGGTCGGTAATAACAAACTTCTCCAAGGTGAAAGAGGATGGTCGAACACATCGCAAGGAAGCTAAAAACCTTGAAAAAAGATTAGACGAATGGTTAACTAGAATAAGTAGTGTAGAGAAGACCTTAAATGACCCGATGGAGCTGAAAACCATGGCACAAGAACTATGTGACGCATGCGCAAGCTTCAGTAGCCAATTCGATTAACTGAAAGAAAGGATATCAGTGATTGAAGATCAAATTAATGAAATGAAGCAAGAAGAGAAGTTTAGAGACAAAAAAGAGTAAAAAAAAATGAACAAAGCCTCCCAGAAATATGGGACTATGTGAAAAGACCAAATCTACATTTGATTTGCATACCTGAAAGTGATGGGGAGAATGGAACCAAGTTGGAAAACACTCTTCAGGATATTATCCAGGAGAACTTCCCCAACCTAGCAAGGCAGGCCAACATTCAAATTCAGAAAATATAGAGAACACCACATAAATACTCCTTGAGAAGAGCAACCCCAAGATACATAATTGTCAGATTCACCAAGGTTGAAATGAAGGAAAAAATATTAAGGGCAGCCAGAGAGAAAGTTCGGGTTACCCACAAACAGAAACCCATCAGACAAAGAGTGGATCTCTCTGCAGAAACCCTACAAGCCAGAAGAGAGTAGGGGCCAATAATCAACATTCTGAAAGAAAATTTTCAACCCAGAATTTCATATCCAGCCAAACTAAGCTTCATAAGTGAAGGAGAAATAAAATTTTTTACAGACAATCAAATGCTGAGAGATTTTGTCACCACAAGGCCTGCCTTACAAAAGCTCCTGAAGGAAGCACTAAACATGGAAAGGAACAATGGGTACCAGTCACTGCAAAATCACGCCAAATTGTAAAGACCGTCAATGGTAGGAAGAAACTACATTGACTAATGGGCAAAATAACCAGCTAACATCATAATGTCAGGATCAAATGAACACATAACAATATCAACCTTAAATGTAAATAGGCTAAATGTCCCAATTAAAAGACACAGAACCAGCCCAAATGTCCATCAATGATAGACTGGATAAAGAAAATGTAGCACATATACACCATGGAATACTATGCAGCCATAAGAAAGGATGAGTTCATGTCCTTTGCAGGGACATGGATGAAGCTGGAAACCATCATTCTCAGCTAACTATCATAAGGACAAAAAACCAAACACCCCATGTTCTCACTCATAGGTGGGAACTGAACAATGAGAATACTTGGACACAGGGCGGGGAGCATCACACACCAGGGCCTGTCAGAGGATGGGGGACTGGGGGAGGGATAGCATTAGGAGAAAGATCTAATGTAAATGATGAGTTGATGGATGCAGCAAACCAACATGGCACATGTACACCTATGTAACAAACCTGCACATTGTGCACATGTACCCTAGAACTTAAAGTATAATAATTAAAAAAACTATAAAACATTGATGTAAGAAATTAAAAAGGACACAATAAATTTAGAAATCCATATTCATATATTCAAAACATCAATTTTTTATTTCAATAGTTTTGGGGATATAGGTGGCTTTTGGTTACATGGATGAGTTCTTGGTGGTGAATTCTGGAATTTGTAATGCACCCATCACCTGAGCAGTGTACACCATACCTAATACGTTGTCTTTTATCCCTCATCCTCCTCTCAACCTTCCCCACCCCAAGTCCTCAAAGTTCATTATATCACTCTGTAGGTTTTTGCATCCTCATAGCTTAGCTCCCACTTACAAGTGAAAACATATGGTATTTGGTTTTCCATTCCTGAGTTACATAACTTAAAATAACGACCTCTAACTCTATCCAAGTTGCTGCAAGACACTATTTTGTTCCTTTAAATGGCTGAGTAGTATTTCCTGATGTATATATACCACACTTTCTTTACCCACCCATTGGTCAATAGGCAGGTTAGTTCCATATCCTTACAATTGTGAACTGTACTGCTATAAATATGCATGTACATGTGTCTTTTTCATATAATAATTTCTTTTCCTTTGGGTAGATACCTAGTAGCGGGATTGCTGGATTAAATGATAGATCTATGTTAAGTTCTTTAAGGAGTCTCCATAATGTTTTTCATAGTGATTGCACTAATTTACATTCCCACCAGCAGCGTAAATGTGCTCCCTTTTCACCACATCCATACCAATATCTATTGTTTTTTGACTTTTTAATTATGTCCATTCATGCAGGAGTAAGGTGGTATCATGTGGTTTTAATTTGCATTTCCCGGATGATGAGTAAAGTTGAGCATTTGTTCATGTTTGTTGGCTGTTTGTATGAAGGGGTGGCCTGCCCCTCCACACCTGTGGGTATATCTCATCAGGTGGGACAAGAGATTCAGAAAAGAAATAAGACACAGAGACAAAGTATAGAGAAACAACAGTGGGCCCAGGAAACCGGCACTCAGCATACCAAGGATCTGCACCAGCACCAGTCTCTGAGTTCCCTCAGTTTTTATTGATTATTATTTTCACTATCTCAGCAAGAGGAATGCAGTAAGAGAGCAGGTTGATAATAGGGAAAAGTCAGCAAGAAAACATGTGAGCAAAAGAATATGTGTCATAATTAAGTTCAAGGGGAGGTACTATGCCTGGATGTGCACATAGGCCAGATTTATGTTTTTCTCTACCCAAACATCTCAGTGGAGTAAAGAATAACAAAGCAGCATTGCTGCCAACATGTCTCGCCTCCTGCCATAGGGCAGTTTTTTTCCTATCTCAGAATTGAACAAATGTACAATCGGGTTTTATACCGACACATTCAGTTCCCAGGGGCAGGCAGGAGACAGTGGCCTTCCTCTATCTCAACTGCAAGAGGATTTCCTCTCTTACTAATTTACTTAAGCACAGACCCTTCATGCGTGTCAGACTGGGGGACAGTCAGGTCTTTCTCATCCCTCGAGGTCATATTTCAGACTATCACATGGGGAGAAACCTTGGACAATACCCTGCTTTCCAGGGCAGAGGTCCCTGTGGCTTTCCACAGTGCATTGTGCCCTTGGTTTATTGAAACTAGAGAATGGCAATGACTTACCAAGCATACTGCTTGTAAACATTTTGTTAACAAGGCACATCCTGCACAACTCTAGATCTCTTAAACCTTGATTCCATACAACGCATGTTTTTGTGAGCTCAAAGTTGGGGCAAAGTGGCTGGGGCAATGTGGCTGGGGCAAAGTTACAGATTAACAGCATCTCAGGG